TTATGTCTATAAGAAAAACCAAAAATAAATGATGGAGTATGATTTGATAGACCATAGCTATATAGATGATAGATAATACTCATATTTTCAGGCACCCATTTCTATAAATGTCTGTAACTAATAATTGGACCAGGGCTAAGGGTAAGACCTGGGACTCTTGTAGCTGGTGCCGGCTTTGTCTGCACACATGACTGTCAGGCAGGGCTCTGTGCATGAGCTGTAGGCTCTGAGTCTTTTATAAGAGGGCATTTTGTGTGCATGCTCTGCTCACCACACATACTTCACACACATACACAGCCTCCCCGTTTACTTCCCTTATGGGGAAGGTAGTTCTCTTGTTCCACCCCATCCCTATTGCTCCCAGTGCCACTCCCATTCCCAAGACAAGGGAGAACTCCCCAGTGGCCTAAAGGATCTCCAGGTGGCGACACCTTGCCATTTCAGGAGTCCCTTTGGGGTTAACAGCCATGTCCCCTGTATAGCTGGTAGAATGTAAAGACAAATGCTTCCAACTTGCATAGATGCCCAGAGGGTTCATTCTTCCGTGCTCTGTTGGAGTGCATCTCCCACCCCTCTTTTGTTCCCCTTCCCTTTTACCATGTTTTCCTTGGTCCCCTCCTCCTCCTGTGTGAGCCATCATCCTTCCTCATAACCTACAAGCAGCTGGTAGCTGGCTGGTACAGGCCCACTCCGCAGCTGGTTCTTCTCAATCCCAGCAGGCACGCTGGTTTGCAATCTCTCCACACAGCTGTCAGCTTGTTTCTCAGGGCCGGGTGGAGTGACAGTTTGGGGTTTGCTTTTCCTTTTCGCATCTGTGGATGCCTCTTCATCGCTGCCTGCTGTGGACATCAGGATGATGCTTCCGCTTCAGTAGAGGGCTAACGTCAATTTCCCAGAGTATCCCATACAGGCCAAGCTCCGACACCCCTGAATACAGAACGGCTTGAGACCAAATGCTCTGGGCTAGCCATGCAAGGGCGAAGGAAGGCAAAGGGTCACCTCCAAATGCTACAACATGAGTGCCTCTGCCTTGGGCCTTACAAAACCATGATCTCAGGGACATCAAAACAGACATCTTCTGCTTCTAGAGATGGCACATCCCAGAGGCTCTGCCATACCACATAAACTCTCCTCTGAGTGGCAGGAAATGCTATTCCGAACCCTTTGGTGTGTGGGAGTGGGCGTGAAATGGAGGTCAGTAAGGTAGAGAAACCAAACACTGGGAGCTGCTGGGACTATATACTTTCACTTATATTTCCCTGAAAGCCAAGGGTATTGAGCATTGTTTCATAGCCATTGGTCATTTGTGCTTCTTTTGAGAACTGTGTTTATCTACTTATTGAAGGGATGATTTGTCTGGTATCTAACCTTTCTGTAGTCTAAGATGTGTATTTTTTTTCAAGTCAAAGATCCCCATGATAAATAAATGTCTAAATCTATTGTAAAAAAAATAAGCTAAGCTTAATTTCCCTTAACCTCCACTGCCTTATTTTTTAGTTTTCTAAAAGGCAGTTTTGTGTGTATTTAAAAACATCTTTTAAATATATACAAAGCAGTGGGATGGAATGTCCCCTCACCACTTACAAATGCAATGCAGGTGGGTAAGAGGACCATTGGGACCATTGTCACCCTAACTGTGGCTAGTGGTTAGTCTCCAAGTCATAAAAAGAACATACGTACGTGGAGGACATGACTTCATGTAGCTGTTGGTAGGGCAGTCTGTGACTCAAGCAGGAAGGACATGTTGCCACCACACAAATTTCTTGGGAACTATCTCTCTCTCTCTCTCTCTCTCTCCCTCCCTCCCTCCCCTTCTCTCTCTTGTACACACACACACACACACACACACACAGACACACAATGGAAAAAAATTCCTCAGGATCTCTCTCTCTCTCTCTCTCTCTCTCTCTCTCTCTCTCTCTCTCTTTTTCTCTCCACACACACACACAGAGCAGAGACCTTCAAATGTGAAAAAAAATTCCTCTGGATCTCTGAATCAGATTGCATTGGTAGCTTTCAGACCAAGGCACAACCGTGCTCACTCACGTACAGCTTTTGCCCACACAGAAACTGTTTCTCAGATGTTCAGAACCACTCACTTCTCTGCCTGGGAACAAAGGGCCACACACACCCAGTGGCTGAGTTAGAGTCTCTGTGGCTTTTGTAACCCTTCCAGTGGATCTGAAACATACAGTCCCTGCGGCTTTTCCCTGAAGGGTCTTGTTCCCATGGACATCCTCCCTCCAAAGTCAGATTCAGACTCCCTGTCCCCCAGATCTATTCCAAAACAAATTCCCAGCTCAACCTAAGCCAAGCAGGGACTGAAAGCTCTCCCCGCCCTTTCCGGAAGGAGTCACTTCAAAGCCACAACGGCAGCAAGAACTTGGAGTCCCCAGATGAAGGGTTTATAAAGTGCCCTGGCCACATCTGTAAAGAGAATCAAATATGACCGTACCCTCTTTGCTTTTTAAAGTGGGAAACGAAAATTAGCACAATCCCAAGCTCCTGTAACACACCCAAAATAAATCAGTGACGAGCTGGGTGGGGGAGAGAATGACAAACTGACAGAAGGCAGGGAGTAGGTGACGCTGTGTCTCAGGGTGGAGGCAGCAAAGTCAGAACTCTCAGTGACAATTAGATAGTGAGATATTGCCACTGACTCGTGATCCTGTAAGTAGCCCCCGTAACCTCACTGGCTCATCAAGCTGGACTCAGCTGCAATCTGTTTTAGTCTTCAGGGGCTCCCCTTGTTTGTAATAAGTAGGTGTTTAAATCTCTCCAGGCTATCCCATATCATAAATACTTAAATACTTAAACCTTCCTGCATTTATCCATTCAGAATGTCAGCATGAGGAGGGCAGGAGAGTATGTTTCATTTTTTGCAAACATTTATTTATCTATCTATCTAATCTATCTACCCATCTAATTATTTGTATGTGTGCATATGTGTAGGAGGGGGTGTACATGCCCTGGTATATGTGTGTGGAGATCAAATGATAATTTGCAGGAATCAGTACAGGGAATTGTACTCAGGTTATAAGGCTTGGTAGCAGACACCTTTACCCACTGAGCCATCTTGCCAGCCCAAGGAGTTCTGTTTCACTCACTACTCGTCCCAGAGTGTGGAATGCCACAAATATAACTTATACAAGGAATTCTATATGCATCAAAAATGGGTGGATGGTGATTTGTTCATTGAGTCACCTATAAGATTTCAATCATCCAAGGAATCCCCTTGTTCTCCTGATAATTACCAAGAGATATGGCCATAAACAATCCATGTGGAGATACTTCTGAGAACATAAGGGTGGAAGATTAGGGTCTCGTAAATATTTAGCCACAGTTCAGGATGAGTAACAGGGTTCCAATCTCAGTTTGAGAAGGAGTCTGGTTGGACTCTCCAGTCGTGGCACCAGACACCATCCACTGACTAGTTTAACAGTCTCTGTGAGGGAACCACAGCCAGAGGCTCCTACCAAGCATGGATCCTTTGCTGATGGACGAGTTTGTCAAAGCAGTCATTCACTTGCGTCTTTATTCAAGAAAGACAGTAATTAAAAAACAAACCTAGTCTAATGGTACTCTTTCTGTATGTGCCAATGGCTGGAGGCAGAAAAAATGACCCATCACTAGTCTCGAAATCAGTGGCTACACAAGTTCCTTGGCTTCCTGTTGGGGAAGTGTGAGAGGATGTGGACTCAGCTCTGCTGAGGGGACATAGTCACACTCTGTTGGAAACGGACCCTCCCTGTCCTTGCACTCTGAACACAGGGACAGGTGCGGCGCTTATGCGGCAAGACTTTAAAGAATAAAAAGAGACATTCCATGTAGACAGCAATACAAAGGAGTTATATAAATTTATTTCTCATGTAACGATTGGTTTAGAAAAAAATCCCCACTTTCAATGTTCATCCCATCTCTCAGAGTTTTTTTTTTTAAAGTGATAAAAGGATAAAAATTCCCCACAAAATACAATCTGTGTTGCTCATATTTACAGATTACCAGTCACGAGTAAGGCCAGATTGGTTAAAAGTTACTTCGAATAACCCAAATATTTTGTGTATGGCAGAATACCTGCAAGTCTCTATTCTCTTGGCTGCATCCAGAGAAAGGGAGAAAAACCTTCCAGTGTTTTTAATTATTTTCTTTTTAGCCTCCCTATGTAATCAAGTTGAAGTGGGCTGTTTCCCTTTGGTGTAAAATCAAAGCACTGTGTATCCAGCCTAAACCAGCTTCACACTGAAATTCTGTTCCCTCTTCTTCCCTTAGTAAATGCATGGCAGAGTACACAACGACCTCCAATGATTAGGGTTTTTTTTTTTTTCTAATTAAAGAAATAACAGAATTTAGAGAACCAAGCAGTCTGCCGAGATGGTGAAATGGATACGTAATAATCCTCGGGCAGCCATCTTAGCACAGGGGCACAGGGTGGCCACGCCACACTCACACAGAGAGTGATTCCATTCTGTAGCCTTCGGTGGTTACGGCTGAGGTGAGGGCCAGGTAGATGATACTGCTGTGACAGACCCCTTGTCAGGCTTCCAGGGGGCTGAAGTTTCCCAGCTGAAAACCTTTCTCTGGGTCAAGATTCCTTCGATTCTTCAGCATTCAGGAATCAGCCTTGGAAAACCGCTGGGCAGGGATTTCGTACCTCGCATCTGTAGACACCCTGCTGTGTACACAGTCCTCCAACATCTCTACCTAGAGCAGGTGGGAGCAGTCTGTGTCACACAGAAAGCCTTCACACACTAAACGTAGACACATCATGAATGGTACCTGGTGACACACCCTATGGGGGAAGTTTTCTGAAAGATGTCTACACTTGGGAAGACTATCGTTCTGAAGGGAGAAAGGCACGGGAGTGGTTTTCTTCCTTGGACTGAAAACCTTCATACATCTGCAAAGACAGAAAATAATGTCGCCCGGTCTCTTGGACTTTCACAGTATAAGATTGTTATGATATATCCGGCCCCTTAGAAAACCTTTCTCTCCCCTTTCAGAATCCAGCTCTCGAAGAAGCTGTCGCCCTGGGGCTTTCCTCTGTTCCCAACTGATCCAAGCTGACTTCAAGTGGACTGGAAGGCACTTTGAAGACCATCCCAGGACCCACAGGGGATGGAATTACTGGGTAAGGAGGGGCCTCTTCTCTTCATAGTGGCAGCAGAGCTGTCTCGTCAAATGGTTACTTGTCTTTTTTTTTTTTAAATAAAGTGACAACCTAGGGCTCCAGTTATGAATGCAGCTCATTCTCTACCATAAATCTCTAGAAAATATCAATTTCATCGGTCATCTACTGTATGCTTATAATATCTAAAAATAAAAGTTTGATATAAATAAATGTCCTTTAGTGGCAGTATACTAAAAGACCAGCCCCTTGGCCTTTGAGACAACCATCAAGATCATTTTTAGCAATACAGATAGCAGCTAACTATGACAACTGCAAAGAGCTGGTATTGCAAAGTCCATTTGGTCTGTCTTTTGTACCTGGCCAGTGAACTGCAGTCATGGCCAACGTTTCCCAAGATGCTGACGCAAATGGACAGAATTTGGTCCATAGCCAAGTGGCTCACATTCCCCAAGAGCACAGAAAACTCTGCACGGAACCCACTAATGTCCAGTACCATTGCAAATAAACAATGGAGGGAACCAGAAACATGTGTACCAATAGCAGAGACACAGAGCTGAGAGACAGATCCACAGGACGAGCAACTAGACCATGTAAAGTGCTGGAAGACCTCAGTCATTACTTTAAAGCAGAAAATTATACTTTGATTATTTTTTCTTCAAATCCCCAAACATCAAGACAGTTCAAGCAAACAAAATTCTAAGTTTTCTGGCATCCCATATGTCAAATTCGCCTTCATTTTAGCTAAGGGGAAAAAAAATCAGTGCATATATAGGAAAATAGGAAGAAACAAAGCTCTACCCTCATTTCGCAAATTCTGTCCAATTGCAAGTTTAAAAAGCTTCCTTTCCACTTTGGTGCTTTGAGGCAACATGAGAACATGAGACTTATCTCCTGTCTTCCTTTCTTTTTTCTTTTCCATGAAGTACAGGTGCGAAGTCAATGCTTTGGTCCTGATCCCAGATAGCCAGAGTGCCAAGGACGGACGGGCGCAGTGAAGACTGTCCACAGGTCATGTCCATCTCTGCAGAGAGCAGGTGAGTGGGCGTCCAGAAGGTACCGCTACCAACGGCCACTGACGCTGGCAATGTCTGAGTGATACTGGCGGGGCAGCCTCCCACTGGCTCCGCCTTCCAGGAAGGAGGTGCATGCATTCGGAGGTTCAAAAAGTTTTCTTCGGCTTTTACTTAGCTCTAGGAAGAGAAATGAAAGAGAGAAAGAACCGTCTGTTAGCTTGTCAGTGGAGAAGTGCCCTGGAGAAGGGGAGCACTTCAGAACTCAGAGAATGGTGGCAGTGGGAATTGGGAAAGCCACAATTGGTGGACGGCGGGAGGTAGACTCTCAGTTAATAGCAGGCATTTCTAAACATTTCCTAGCCTACTATATGAGAGGCACTTACTGCTCACCTAGAGAACTGGGGCAAACCATGTTTACTGTAGTTTGTACAATGCCCAGGGCAATGTCATTCCCAAAATTCCCTAGCCATATCAGACAGGTTTGCTAGACCAAAGGTCAGAAGCACGGGGCACAATAGATGCTGGCATGAAAAGATATATTACCAGTGGCGATTACAGTAGCTGGGAGCACGGCTTAGTGGTCCAACGGGGGTGAGGCCCTAGGATCAAATCTCAACAAAGCATACACACATGCACTCTTCCTCCATGACAAACACAGGAAACGCTAAAGTAGGCAAGACAGACATGGAGAGAGACTCCCATGTCTGAAGACTTCACAGGGGAGAATGAAGCTCTACACCAAGCCTGGGCTTCTTGAAGGCCAACCAGTTTCTGAAACTTATCCACATGCAAAAACTTTGTACAGAAACATCAACTTAGTAAAGATCTTATCCGCTAAGAAAGTTAATACTTAAAAACAATACTGAAATCTTAATTGTCTGGGGAAGAAAAATAAAACACCCTACTTTGATTTCAAAGAATCCTGAGTGCTCAGAAAATATAGCTAGTGATTTTTACAGTACAGAATCAAACGGAAAGGCAAGCAGCTAGCTAACCGACAGATGATGTGTGCTAGGCATCCACCCTGTCTGATGGACCCTGGCACCACCACAAACTCTCTAGGAAGAGATGCATGGGAAACCCTGAGACAGGAAGTTAGAATTCCTCATAAGCACCAACTGGAAATCTCTCCAATTTGCTCAACTTTCAATAACCAGAAGGGCGTAAAACTGACCTGCCTGAGTCCGTGTTCAGGAGACTGAGGCAGGAGATGCAACACCTTAGGCTTATACAGAGCTCAGTTTAGTACCACCCCTCCCCCACATACCCCCATTGCCTTTGGAATCCTGCAGTCACACTGTGAGCCATGCAAGCTCTGGCAAGTCGAAGGATGAGAAGGTGAGCCACGTGGGTGAGGACCACCAGAGAGTCAGCCACGCTCGTGTCTGCTGAGTAGCGGACAATAAGTCAGCCAGCAGACCCTTACGGTCACCAGAGTGTTTTCAGAATGGGAATCAAGGCAACCTTGGAGGTACTTCTCTTTTGTTAACACACTGTTCTCAGAGACATGAAAACACTGATGCATTAAAGGGATGGCGGCAGGTACTTTAGAATTACTTTGTTTTGCTCAAGTCTTCCCTAAGGGACAGATAACACAAGTAGTCTCTATTTTATAGACAAGGAAACTGATTTTTTTTTTTTAGAAGTTGATATCACCTGCTGGCACCCTGATGAAATGCGGAGTTGAGCCCCATCTGCCTGAGGCTAAAGGTTCACCAAGCACTGGGTTTTCGTGACCATAGATAAAAAAGGCCCTGTGGTCCTGAGAATGCCACCGGAGACATTACCACTTCAGGCAGGACCAGTGACAGAGAATTTGTTTGTACTGAAGCGCATCGAATCCATTTCTGAATTGTGAGACTAGTTTGCAATCTGAAGAGGTGTAAGGCGTCTCTAGGAACAAGGCACAGGCTGACACACATGGCATGGTTGCTGTTTCGCTACGGACACCAACATCCTTTCTAAAATGCTGCACCACCGTGTCTTCTTTTAAAAACCCACAAACACGGAACTTCATATTTCAGACGAAGGAGGAACTGAATGTTCCTAAAGGCAGACTTATAGAGGACCATCTCTGGTCTCCACTCTTTCTCACAGCCAAAAGGTCCGAGTCAGGAGTTTGCTCCCACGTTACAAAGAAGGAAAAGTAAGGGTTGGGGCAGAGCACTCTTCCCCAGCACAGGAGACAGTGCAATGAGTCAGTGAAAATCACGAGGCCACTGAAGCAATTTTCAGTGATTATTTTTAAAAAGGTCCCATCAGCTAGCCATCTGAAAGAATACAATGAGCACGAGGGGGATCAGGCCGTCCACAAAGGTGCTGTTTCTGAAGGACTGAACATGCATGCGAGGCTCAGAAACCAAACTGCCCGAGAGAGGCTGTCAAGGCAAGTCCTACTGCAAACATTTAAGGGTCTTGCATGAGATTAAAAAGCAAACTCCTTCCTCAAGTCGTCTCTCTTGTCTCAGAAAACCTAAGGGGATAGTTTCAGAAAATACCAACCTTTTTCTTTGAAATTCCAAGGTTCACACAATCCTGGCAGCTCTCAGGATCTTGTTGCGGATCTGAACAGAGTCACAAACTAAAAGAATAGGTCGGGAGATGTTAGATCTACCTGAGGCTGTGGCAGCAGGCTTGTCAACAGGATGCTACTGTGCCTCACTGAGTCTGTCCAGCTAGCTAACCAGTTACTAAACTAGTCTCAGCAATCTCTTGACTTAAAAAAAAAAATTAAATTTATTCTCGGACATATCTCTACATCTCAAATTCATTCCCTACAATATTAAAATGCAGGCTTTCTGCCCCAAGATAAAACCTCATACCAAAAGAACAATTCCAAGGATAAATGTAACCATCTGCACCGTTTGGCAACGGAGACATCATCTAACCAGAAGACAAGCATGAGTCTGGGCTGCCCTGCCAGGCTGCATCTCTCTGGAGTGAAATGTTGGAAGTCTTTGTTATCAGGCAGGCTGGATTTGGAGAAGCAACTTTTGATGAAGCATTTTTTCATGATAACATCACTCGCAGAGAAAATGATGTATTAGGTTCCAACAAGTGCACTGGGCAGAGTAAGGCAAACTGTCCTCGATGTCATCAAAGGCCCCATGATGTGCAGAGCAGTTTCCCAAGGTACCCGATTCCGTTTAAAGGCACGGGAACCCATGAGCCTGTCGGGAGAGCTGTGTCTCCAGAATACATGCTGACCTCAGAAGAACCGAAGATGTCAATTGAAAAAAATAACGAGTCTTGAAAGCCCCTGTGTCTCACTCCCCATCCTCCCAATCTGAGACTGAGGTATTGCTGTACTCCAAAGGAAAGCTTCCTGATGATTCACCTACAGCCTGTGAAGATGTTTGGGAGCTACCCCTTGTGACTGAATGTTCACAGGACTTGGAACCACTTCACAAAGGAAAAACTTGGTTTTCCTTACACCGCTACCACTATTCCGTGAAGGTGAGTGAAAGGTGAGTGTGTCAGGGTAGATACTTTCCTGTAGAGAAGCGCTAGCCTGTATTAGTAAGTGTGTGACTTAGTCAAATGCCAGTACTCAATCTCGCTTGACAATCAACGAAATGCTAACGTCAGAGTCTGAGAATAACCCTGTGTGGATAGGCTCTAGGGTAAACAGAGAACAAAATAATCTTATTACCAAAGACGGCAAAAAGAACAAACGAGGGTGTGAACCAGCCTGCTAAGAGTCTCCATCAAGCCCGCTGATGTCTTTCATGGAAGGATAGGTCTCAGAAATGGAAGGGGACCCACACAATCACCACTAGCGTCTACATTCATAACAAGCCAAAACCAAGAGATTTGGAAACTCACCCAGGAACCAACAACTTGGCTCAGCAGGATTTAACCTCCTCTCTGAATCCACTGTTCCCCTCACATAGAGTGGGATAAGATCAAGACTCATCAGGAATGACACATCCACCTGAACACTGTCAATACAGGCTGGTAGAGGCCCTGGGGTAGAGTCCTGAAGCATGGAGGTACAGGTGCTATGTGGAGGAGTCTAAGACTCCACTTCAAACCACCCACGATGATGTCTCTCCTGGTTGAAGGCACCTGTGCACATATCTTCTTTAGACAAAGATTTCCCCCGAGGAGGTGGATCAGGTACTGCAATCCACTGCTAAATGAAATGGGCAGACCCTGAGGTTTCCAATCGTATTTTCAACTATGAACAGTGAACACTGTCTAGAAAGGATATCCGCCAGCTAGATGCAATCACTCGCCTTGCACAGGTCCGGCCTGCAAAGTCACAGTCCCCCATCAGAGAATGCTTGCTTTCTGCCTTTAGTGTCACTGTCTTTCCAAGAGGCAGGCACACATAAATGTGACATTCAAGAACACTGCCAGCAAGACTTCCATGGTCCTCTTTCTCTGAACATTGTTGTGTATTGACCTATGTGTGCACCGCCCCAATTCATCACCTGCATTGCACCCTAATGAGTACATAGAGTACTCACTAAAGGAATATGCAACAGACCACCAAGAAGGCAGACTAGGGATGTAGATACTATTTTTCTTCCATTTGTGACTCAAATTCTACTCAAAACCTTAGAAAAATCAAAAGGCATTAAGTCTGATAAGCACCGCCAAGAAGCACCACAAATGCTCTTTTCCTCTTAGTGGGATGAACCTGGGACATACACACTGGAACACGGCTGTCAATCGAGCAGTTATTCACAAACTCAGAAACTTGTGTATCACAGTTGCTCACCCATTCTCATGCTCTGCATGGGGCGATTCTGGCTACATCTTTCTGAGGAAGTCTAGTACAGGGAGCAATATTGCCAAGGAAGGCTTTGGTTAAGTGCCTTGATTAGGTAGTAGGGTGTTCTCAGCGTTGGCAAAACGACCCCCGCTGCATCATATCCAGCATGGCATCAGAGGAGTAAGTAGCTGATGTGCAGAACCAGGCCCACATGCGGAGACCCCTGGCAGAGGGCTTTCAGATTTTAAAATATGACTGTAACATATCTACTCACCTGAGATGGCCAGCAGCATTTTCCTCCTGGCACCAAAGGTCGTAATTCCCAGCTCCTTCAGATCCTGATCTGTGAGGGTGAGGAACGTCTGGAGATCAATCTGTGGAAAAGAGAAACAAGCTGTAGCCAGCATGAAGTATGTGTGGGGCGTGTGTGAAGTGTGTGTGGAGTGTGTGTCTTTGCCACTGTGGAATCGACCCATCATTGTATTGATTCATTAACCTTATCTACTTCCTAAAATCAATGGTGGTGGCACCAACCCAAGGGCTGGACATTAGGAAACAGGTGGTAGGGGCTAGAGAGATGGCTCAGCAGTGAAGAACACTGGTTGCTCTTCCAAAGGACCCGGGTTCAATTCCCAGCACCCACATGGAGGCTCACGAGTGCCTATAACTCCAGTCCTAGGACATCTGATGTCCAATTCTGTCCCTCATGGGCTCTGTATACACATGGTACACAGACATACATTCAGGAAAACATTCATACACAGTAAACAAAATCTCAAGGAGAAAGAAAGAGAAAGAAAGAAAGAAAGAAAGAAAGAGAAAGATTGATTGGTAAATTGAAAGCAACTATTAGCAGGAGACAGACTAAGCCAGCAACTTAATACCAATGAGATAAATTTAGCTCCGAGCATCTTGGCAGCTATGGCCAAAACAAAACAACACAAATACTACACCACATTTGTGAACTGATGAAAAGAAGGATATGAATCAAGACTGTTTGTTAGCTTCAGTTATAAGAAGAAATCAAAGTGTACATAAAATGTTAGCTTCCATTGTGTTGTATACAACCATGTGAAAGAATCAAGTCCCCAGTTCAATGAACTCAACAGACTATCTCAAAAATGGCACAGAACCGCCCATATAACAGCACAGCTGTGCCTCGGCCACACAAAATGGAAGAAAACAGTTCAGGTGCAGGGCTCTTATTTTGAAGGTAGCCTGCAGTACTAGAAAGGAACAGCAATGAAGTCAGATCCTAGCTGTCCCATCACTAACACTGGGCATTTGTGACAGGCCGTAATGTACCCTGCAAGCTGCTGTAAACATCATATATGGCTGCAGATGTGAATAAGGACCTGCAGGCTCAATGATGATTTCAGAGGAGCTATGACCCCAAGGTTCCCCTACATCAACACTCCAGTGTGCTCTCTCAGCTAAAGTGGTGAAGGATGGTTGGGGTCCTTTTCTGCAGACCCCACTTTCTACTTCTCTGCTTTTCCACACTATACTAAATAAGAAACAAGATGACATTTTTCTTCAGCAGCTAGAACAAGCTGGGACTTGAAATGCCCAGGGAAAGGACAACCGCAGGTCAATGTGGCTTCCTTCTGGAGGTCATCACACCCACGACCCAAACAAAGATGCCCAGGAAAGAAGATGCAGGCTGGCCCACCTCTTGCTGCTGGAAGACGTCGGTGTATTTGCCCAGACCCAGCTTGCTGAAAAGCTCGGGGAGGTCAGAGCCTTTGAAGCAGCTGTTCAGGTTGCAGCCATTGCTTCCTGTCAGCGAGGAAATGCAGTCCATGTAGTTGCTGCTGCTGAGATAATGCTCTCCTGGAGGGCAAAGGAGAGACAGTCAAGGCCACAGGGAATGCGGTTTAATTAAAAGCCTTAATCACCAAGTATTTCAGATTTCATTGTTCGGTGGAACAGAGCACCGGCTGCAGAAGCACAGTAATCCGTCACCGTCACCGCAGGATCAGCTTTTCACCAAGGAAACACTGTTTATTGCTGTCAGGAAGCTCCTGCCATTCCGCGGTTACAGAAAGTTAGCACCAGCCGCTCGGTAGCTAATAAGCATTCATTGTGTTTTCCCCCCTGAGCGTTGGCTCTTTACAGCTATAATGTGATGGAAATCAAATGAAGAGCTGGAGAGGAAGCCTGGGACACAGTAAAGGTACAGGAAGTTCTAACAGGCCCAGATTCCCCTCTGGATGGCAGGGTGGCTCTCCGCCTCCCGACCTGGGCCTCCTTCGTGTAGGGTAATCGTGCAACCGTATGGTACACACACCCCTTAGCCTTGAAGGCCACAGAGGGTATCAAGTCCGTCAAACTGGGTGCTTCTGAAATGAGTAAGATCCGCAGCAATGATGCTGAGGTGTACATGGCCATGCTGCCTCTTGCCTGTATGGCTATCTGTCCTCTCACAGCAAGGATGTTGCCTTAAAAGGGATTATTTCTAGCAAGTGGAAGAGACAATGCTCCTCCAGGCCAGGCAGCTCCATGCAGATCACTCCAGGGCTCTGCAGCAGCCAGGCCTCAGAGTTAGCTTGGCCAGGGATCACTTTCTCCCCTTTCCATAGGCAAACTGAGACACTCTCTGCTTATCTCAAAGGCAAGGAATTGGCTAGTAACATTTCTTTGGCTAGTAACATTTCTTTTTCAAACAGGTATATTCTTATGGGAAGAAGAGGAAGGGACCCCAAACTCGCCCCTAAAATAACATCCTTGGACTATTACTTACAAGTAAGATAGAAGCGCCCCGAAATCATCAAAGCAGACTACGTCAAGGTTTGGTGATACAAAACCATGCGTTGGGAGCCCTTCAGCGTGCCTGCTGGCCTCCCGTGAGCAGACATCAACTGCAGGTTGATGGTGTAAATTGCTGTCCAAATGATGAACTTACCTCCTGGTAGACAAAGGGGAACTACCAAAATCTACGGTTGAGCCACTGCTATAAAAGGGAAGCCCAGAGAAGGAGGAGACTTTGAGACTAAGACCCAAGGTATAAAGGAAAAGTGACTAAGCCTGTGCTCTTCAAAACGGCAGCCATTGGGAGCCTGAGATGAGGTGAGTGGGAAGTCAAATGTTGGATGAGTACAACATACATTCTAAACCTGGACCAAGTAGAACATAGTAGTAAACATTTAAAACACATTTGAAAATAAAACCCCCTGTGGGAAATGTTTACAATGGCCCTTAACTTCACGTTGACTAGTGACACGTTTGTGTTAACTGTCAATAGTTTCTAAGTCTTCTTTTTTTTAAATTGATTTTTACTGAGTATTTTTCTCTGATCCCCTCCCTGTTTCTCCCTTCTCCCCTTTAACCCTCCCACAAGATCCCCATGTTCCGAATTTACTCAGAAGATCTTGTCTTTTTCTACTTTCTACTTCCCATGTAGATTAGATCTATGTATGTCTCTCCTAGTGTCCTCATTGTTGTCTAAGTTCTCTGGGATTGTGGTTTGTAGGCTGGTTTTCTTTGCTTTATGTTTAAAAACCACCTATGAGTGAGTACATGTGATAATTGTCTTTCTGGGTCTGGGTTACCTCACTCAAAATAATGTTTTCTAGCTCGATCCTTTTTCCTGCAAAATTCAAGATGTCATTTTTTTCTGCTGTGTAGTACTCCATTGTGTAAATGTACCACATGTTCCTTATCCATTTTTCGGTCAAGGGGCATTTAGGTTATTTCCAGATTCTGGGTATGACAAAAAAAAAAAAAGCTGCTATGAACATAGTTGAGCACATGTCATTGTGGCACAATTGAGAATCCTTTGGATATATACCCAAAAGTGGTATTGCTGGGTCTTGAGGAAGGTTGTTTCCTAACTTTCTGAGAAATCACCACACTGACATCCAAAGGGACTGTACCAGCTTGCATTCCCACCAGCAATGCAGGAGTGTTCCCGTTTCCCCCACAACGCTCCAGCATAAGTTGTCATCAGTGTTTTTGATCTTGGCCATTCTTACAGGTGTAAGATGGAATCTCAGAGTTGTTTTGATTTGCATTTCTCTGATGACTAAGGATGTTGAACATTTCCTTAAAGGTCTTTTAGTCATTTTAGATTCCTCTGTTGAGACTTTTCTTTTAAGGTCTGTACTCCATTTTTTTTTTATTTAATTATGTGTTCTTTTGGTGACCAATTTCTGGGACCTCTGAGGGAGTAAGCAGGTCCTGTTTAAGCCTTCTTTTAAACCCCACCCCAACTCTTACAAAGTCCTCGTAAAAGTCAAATTATTGGGCTTCTTTAATCACCCTGTCTCTCTTTCACAATCTCGTCTTAGCCTAGTTTTTAGTCCAACAACTTAGTATAGTTGGTTTAAGTTATCTGTAGGAAACGAGAAATGCGAGCAAAACCAACTTACACTGGGCTACAGGTCAAACACCTACCCCCCAAGGCCTGTGTGGAACAGTAGCCCACCTCTGGGTTGACTGTCGGACCAACATAATACCTGGATCCTAACGGACTACACTGTGCATGTTTAGAAGATCAGACAGTAGCTGATGGGAGTTTCCAGCTACAACTCACGGTTCCTAGGGAGAGGGGTTGCTCTCACTCTCTGATTTGGATCTGGTTAATAGTGCAGCTAGTCTTCAAGCTGGACACGCCTGACAACACAACCACCTGACTAACCATAGCCATAGGCCACATGAAAGACCCACTGCCCTCATCTGCAGGGCCTTCAGACCATTCATGCTGCATGTGTGCAATTCCAAATTTGGCAAGAACCCTGAATAAAAAAGGCATTATTAACAAACTTCATGGCCACTGTGCAATCTTTGGTCTAGCGGTCCATTTCTACCATCCAAAGGAGCCGACACCCTTACAGATATGACACCCTGCTTGGCCTCAGCCACATTAGCTCTGGCAGAATGCCAATGATTTAAAGTGATTTCTTTGTTTAGGCTAATCCATCTTGCCTAAACAAGACCTGCGTAATGACAATACCAGTTGATGTGCAACGTGGATGGGGAAAATCTCCTAAGACCCCACCCTACAGACAATCAATGGCTGTTGAGAAAGGGAGATAGGGGGCCATGGGGGGAATTGGAGGAGGAGGGATACAGGTAAAAATGATGTAAATACAGTATGCATGAATAAAATTCTCAAATTAAAAAACTTTAAGCTAAAAATCCTGGAGTTTCACCTTTAATAGCTAGCGTTTCTTCAGTTGTCAAATATGCTACCTTGAGAATATCTTACTCAACTGCCTTCACAAGTTCCTATCTCTTCCTTGTTACTTGGAGGCGTGTGTGTGTGTGTGTGTGTGTGTGTGCGCACACGCGCACGTGTTATTCACTCCACAGATGCCTACAGAATATGTAGCTGCTAGGTGCCAGGCACAGCCTGACACACAGTACTCAATAAGCATTCACCAGGTATTACTGACTCACAGAACTAAAATTCTACAAGGTAGGTCACAGTAGTAAATGATGGCACTTGGGGATGCAAGCACTAGAGCATCCTCCTTGTACAAAAGGCAGTGGGAGGAGCCAGGAAAGCTTTGGGAAGAGGCGACTCCTCATACTAAGCACCTCATGTCGCAGGAGCGAGCTGCCTGCGCCTCACCACCTCACACTAAGCAAGGGCATCTAAGCTGACACCTGAACGTGGGAACAGAAATCAAAACTCACTTGACTTGTTCTGTTTGCGCTTGGGGCTGCCAATGGGTGCCGCAAATTCACCGTGACCCATGGGTCCTATTCCATTCCGGTCTCGCCAGTTATCCGATTCACTTCCACTTGGCAGATGCTCACGACTGCTGGACCTCGAGAGGGACAAGGAGGAGCCCTGTAAAGAGGCCAAGCCAGAGAAGGAAGAGTTCAACACGGTGGGCTTCTTGGAGTGGGAGGAGAAACAATACCATGCTATATCATTGCAATGCCCTTCTGCCGCATACTAGGGCATGCTCATTCTCTGGCATGTACCAAGGATGAGCACTGACAGACAGCGAGTCCTCACCAAGGGGACCTGACTGCAGGTGGCCCAGAGAGCTCTAGAAGGTGCCAGTGCAAAGAAAGTTTCAAAATGTCATGGTGAGCTCATCCCTGTTTTAGGAAACAGAAAGACACCCCCCCACACACACACACACACATGCTCATACAAAAAGGACATGGGAATGGTGGGGTTGCAGGGAGAGCCAATGTTCTTAGAAAGATGCCTGCACCTATCCTAACACCCAGTGTGGGGAGACAGAACTGGCTTCCCCTGGCACTACCCTCTCCCAAACGAGGACGTAATCTCTCCAGCCAGTTACAAATACCTATGACAACATGCTCTTTGAAGTTCTTCAAGTTTAAAGATAACAGGACAACTCAAAACCTGCCTGAATGTACACTGATTCTTTTTGTTTACGCGTCCACGGCACGACGGCACCCTGGCTTTGGACTCAAGGTTCAGGCACAGACTTCTCCTGTGCAGATTCATCTTCACTGCTAATTCCAAGAAAACTCGCATCACACTTACCTGTGGCTCATGCAGCCCATTCACAGCTAGGATGGCCTCCCTTAAATACTTGCAACTAGCAGCCAGACACCTTAGTCCTGAGGTTTTCTACTTCCTCCCCACGTCCTCTGTGACCTCCTTCTTCTGTCCCATCCTAAATGACAGGCTAGCCATAGGCCTGGACTTTGACACCCACCCCCTCTGTTTTCCTGTGTTTTGTCACCAAATGGGTTCAATCCTCTGTGAAGTCCTTAGTGTGCAAGGACTCTGGCTGCTTGTATGCCTGCATTAAGATCCCTGTGGAACTTCAAGATGGTAAGGCTGCAAATCTAATGCCGATTACAGTTATTTGAGCACGTCCCTCTCTGAATGGCCCTTTCCACCAGCCACTCAAACCTCTGTCTTCACCCACTTGGCCACTCTGGTGCAACTCTGACAGCCCCCCTCTGTAATCCAGCACATAAAACAAGCCTGGCATTTTTAAGTGCCAATCAGAGTAGTCCATGCCTCCAGTCTTGAATTTTGGCTGTTCAGAGACAGAGATGTTTCCTAATTTCCCATGATTCCTTTCTAGTCTTGGACTTAGGTGTACCAGAATCAGCCTTCGTCTTCAATGCCTTCTGCCCCGAGACCTGTCCAGTGAATTCTGCTGTTACAATGATCAAGCCATTTATTCCTTGGACTCAATGCTCTTTCCCAAGATCCTCCTGAGACTGGCCCTATTTTGTTACATTTCCTGGCATGGCTCTCATCTGTTCCTAAAGTCAAAGCAATCTCTGAGCATGGACTAGGAATTTTATTACCCACCGCCTTCTTGACACGTTGTCTTCCTCCCACCAGAAGGCAGGCCTGTCCCCAAAGCAGCACACTTAGAATGTGCAATCTGATACACGGAACTGTCTCAGGGAGGCTGTCATCAATCCATTCATGCATGCCATGCATACCTCCCTCCCTTGCTCTCTCATTCTCGCAATAGGAACCGTCTCTATTGTTCTCTAGAGCCTTCCCCACATTCTTCATCACCGAAGCCAGCCTCAATCCTTACACACCTTCCTGTCTTAGTCCTTCTGAGGCATGGCAGAGAAGACAAGAGGCTTGCCTGCCCAGGGAGCCCCTGCCACAGAAAATTCATGAATGCCGTGTATGGACCCTCTACCTCTACAGAGAAAGACCTGGTTCCAAGGCAAGCACAGAACACTACTCCTGAGGAAAGCCAGAGCATACCCTTGCCAGCATTCAGAGAGGCAGTGGAAGGAGGCAGATGACATGGAGCTTCCCCGGGCTCTTGTCTCACTGTTACTGCCTGCCCCCACCTTC